AGATCCTGGCAGTGACCATGTTAACAAATTCTCCATCCTACATTTACAATTACTTACAGGTCAATATAAATGGTCATTAAACTAATTAAACACACAAATAACTAAGAATAACAACTTACTCCATCGAGTTATCCATTGCTCCATTTATTTCATTATCATTTGTCTCAACATACACATGTGCTGACTCATCATTATACTTTATCAAATGTTGTACTCCCTCATCGTCTAACAAATCTATGTATGTGTCTTCACTAAACTTCACTGTAAATTTTAAGTCAGATGCACCACTTTCAACTCCTGTCACTGATGACACCATCCTCAACAGCTCTTCAAGATTTATGCCTTCTCTAATCAATTTAGAAATTAATCTCCCACCTTCATAGGTTATCTTCCCTTGTAAATCTTTTACAAAATGTCCATCAACATGAAGATAACAAAATACTTCTTTTGCTGAAGTACTTGCCATATGGGAAATAAACCTGGAACAACTACAAGCAACATACAAATTTAGTACTTCACAACTGTCCATTCCATAATCCCAACCTTGACTACATAAATTCAGCATCCATGTTACATTTTTCAACATTCACGCACTTTTCAACACAGATCACAAAAATTCAGCATCCATGTTACATTTTCCTTGTTTTTCACTCCTCAACTTTTTCAACTGTGTCGTTCTCGGAAATCATTTCTTCCACATGTCTATATATAAAGTCTAGTAATCATTAAGAAGACTACTTTTTTTTCTAGGTATAAAACAAAGAGAAATGGTGCAAGATAGCATTTGCAAAGATTAAAACATTCTTTCTGTGCGTGCTTGACAGAGGACATGTGTAAAAAAAAAACAGAGCAATGGAAAAGAAATGGAAGAAGAAGATGCAGACTTCTCTTTCACGCATGGCAAAGGACGAAATGTAAAAGAAGCAATGCATACAATTACCTATTAGAAGACGATTATGCTCCACTAATTTTTCCCTAACATTTTCAATGCACGAGAGCACACTCCATCAGTATTTTTCCCGCTGAAAAACAAGAAAACAGAGCACACGAGATGAGCTTCTTTCCTGTTACCTTTCAATGTTTAGTGAGGGGGCAGTTTTGTAAACTCAAGTTTATTTTTTATCCCACTTAAAGACCATGGTCTTTAATTGGGATTTCTATTTTTCAGGATCTCTAACTGGAATTAATGTCCTTAGAGGGTCTTCAATCGTCATTCTCCCAAAAAAAAAAACACACGCACGTAAACATGTCAATGCTAACTTCTTCCAAAAAAAATGGAGGTGATGTTGCTGCTAAAATAACTGACCATTTACATATAATACTGTTATTTAAACCTGAACATAGTATGGAATTTTGATTTAACTGTTATTGCTATCAAGTATCAACCCACATATTGTTTGGCATGCAGAGTAAATAAATACAAGTTTCAACTAAAATCATGTGACTGTAGTACCTTCAAAACTCATTCTGGTTTTTATTTTAATGTTAAAAATATAATTCAAAAAGCGTCCTTAACTTTCATTTCAATCTTATTTGCTCTGTATTCAAACATAAAATCTATATATATATAAGTATATATATTTTAAGGTGTTCATCAGTAATTTTTAGATTTGCCAGTTGACTCAGGCAACCAAAAAAAGATTTGCTAGTTAACAAAGATGGGGTATATTATATTAGCTTGAATCAATATTGCCTGAATTGGATCTAGATAATTCAACTGATCGAACTGCAAGCCGACCATATTTCTGCCTTAAAATACCTCCAGAACCAGCCAAAAATGAACAGGTTAAAATTGATGAGAACTAATGAAAAAAGCAATCAAACTAGTCTTGAACTAGTTTTTCTTAATTTTTTTTTTTAAATTCTTTTGTTTCCCATGAAAAGGCAAGCAACAGCTTGAGAAGGAAGATACACAAACAAGAGCTTAAAACAAAACATAAACTTAAGACATAGTCATCCTATCATCCCAAAGGAGAGGGGCACAACTAGGTGGAATTGTCGGGAGCAAGCTTAGTCTTTGAATGCTTTCGTGAGCTGCATGAGGTAAATAATCAGCACATTGAATCGCTTGCCTTAGAGAATATAAATTTTTAAATCTCCCAATGACCACACAGCATTTCTCTTATCATGAAAATATCATCTCTCAGTGGGTGATCATCTGGAGTATCCCTCATTAACAGGTTAATAGCATTTAGTGAATCGGTATGTAATTGTATCTTAGGAAATCCCATGCTTCTACATACTTCCAGACCTGTTCGACCAGCAAGGAGTTCAGCGGCAGTTGTTCCTTCGCATCCCAGATTTTTCATAAAACCCATGAGCCAATCTTCGTGCGCATTCCTAATAAATCCTCCACAAGTTGCTTGTCCTTGTTGCCAAACAGATTCGTCCACATCAATTCTGACAGTACCTAGCAGCAGGGATCTCCAGTGGGCATCTCCTCTTTCAATAACCGGGTAGAGATTGTGTTTCCACGTGTCACTTGCAAGGTCTTCATAAAGATGATGCAGACGGCAATGGATAATCTCCTCGGCTGACTTATTATACCCTTCAAAGAGCTGTTGGCATCTGTGCATCCATAACAGCCAACAATGGAGCAGGTAATTTAGGGCAAGTATGACGGTTCAGTTTAAATTTATTTAAAAAATTTAAGATCGAACTTAAAAACATAATAATTTTTAATAGTCAAATTTTTTAAAATATATAATAAATATTAATTAATTCCATAAATTTTATGTCATTTTATATTAAAATTTTAAAATACTATATATTTAAGTGTATTATTATAGTTATTTTTTAAAAAAATTAAAATATTTTTATTTTTATTATTTTTAATCAATAAAATATTTTAAAATAATGTTTAAAATATATTTTAATATTAATTTTTATATTTTAAGACTCAATTTTTCTTAAAAAAAAGTTGAGCCAATACACCATTTGCATATCCAAAAAAAATATATTTTATATTTTATAAAATAAGATAACTAATAAACTAAAAATAAAATTCAACTATATACAAATTCCTGACTCTACTATTAGATAAATATAATAAATAGAATAATATTCTTAGATAATTATTTGATTGTTATCCACGTCAAATTTGATTAAGAATTAAGAATATATTAAAGTAAATACCTCTTGTATGTAGGGGTTAAAAAATATAAAAATTTAAATAAAAATTATTTCAAAAAATAGTATTTTATTCATAATTAAATGATTTTATTTTATATAGTATAATAATGAATATTTTTCTCATAGTCTTAAAATGAAAGGTACTGTTTAATCAAAAGTTATTAAAAAATTTAAGTTAGTGATATAATCGTGATGGAATTGAGATTAATTTAATCATTATTAAAATAATATAATTTAATTAAAATATATAAAATATTTATATATAACCATGATAAGAGCAATATTTAAACATCTAAGATATTAATTTATAAGTAAAGAAAATATTCATAAATAAATTACACAAACTATAACAAAATAGTAACAAAGATACTTAAATACAAAGTTGATAAGTTATTATTTTTTATTTTATTCTTTTAAAGTTAAAATAATATTTTTATGCTTAACAAAATTATTTAAAAATTAAAATTAGCTCAAAAAATAATATTTTTAAAAGTTTTGAGTATTCAGGTTGGTCAGGATAAGTCCAAAGGTGTTAGAATCAGTTGTGGTTATATAAACTTTTAAAAAAAAGTATGATACTTTAAGCATAATTCGAAAAAACCTTCCCCACCCAAATTATCAGCTGTAACCAACAACCATAACTAAAAATCTTTGTCCATGGCTACTTTCTCAACAATCTTCCCTAGTTATACTTGGACTTCCATAAAAGCCAATCCTGCAAATTTAAAGAGAAAAAACAATCGAAATCATTAGGTTCCAACAAGCCTTTCCACGCTTCTTTTACTGCTTTGCGCTCACGAAAGATACGTAAGACACTCTCCTCATAATTGCACTTAAAAAGACAATCACTATTTATAAATAGTTCTCCTTTAGTTCTAAGTGAGGACTAATCTCTTATGACTAACTTGCCACACGAACATCTTCACTTTTTCGACCGCTTTCCACTTCTAAATTTGACTCCAAATACTAGTAGGATGATGGTCATCTAGTTGAGCTAATAACTTAAGACAGCTTTGATCAAAAAGTAACCATTTGATGACGGTCTCCAAATTCAAGTATCATCTCGCCTATTAGCAAGTGTGTTAAAAACTTGTAATGGGAAAAAACTATTTCATGTGGCTAAATTCCACCCTCCATTCGTCAAGACAAAATCCTTAACCCCATTTTGGTGATTAACCAGATCCATGTTCCTCTCAAGAAGAAGAATCAGAGGGTGGTCAAAGGGGGGCCAGTTGTCCCACCAAAATCTGGTGGCATTTCCACTATTTACCTTTTCCGAGCCCACTACTAATGTCCCAAGCAGCTGTGATAGCCCTGCAAACTAGAGAAGAATTCCTCTCTCTCACAATAGAAGGTATAGCACTTTTAAGTCTCAATAATCCAAAACTATTATTATTTGTTACATATATTTTCATGATTTTAATTTATAATAGATAATGAATATTATCATTGTGACATTGGTGTAATTAATAAATTTTAACATATATGACACTAATATAGATACATTCATACCAAGATATTATTTTTTTTTACACATTTAAATCAAAAAATATAACCTTAGTTTCTAGAATTTCATTGAATTCTACTTTTAATCTCTATAATATTTTTCAGTATTTTCAATCATTATAAAGACTAAATATTAAAAAAAAACTAAAACTATAAGAACTTAAAAAACGAGCCACCTAATTTTTTTAAGACCATAGAAACTAAAAAAAAAAAAAAACTACATGATCTAGAAACAAAACCGAATGAAATTATAACATCAATGATTGCATATTCCCTTTTTAAATTATATTAATTTAATTAAAACCAGACCAACCACAATTTGACCATTAAACTTTGAATCAGTACATCGGGTCGTGAAAACATCAGTTTTAATACCTATATATTCATTCATGATATTCTAGCTGATACAGATTCAAGATTCGTAAACCTATACAAGACAGAAAATAGATGGCTAAATTCACCTGAAAATAACATTTTATACAGAGTTGTATGACAACTAACCCGCAACCCAAACCAAGTGTAGGAAAACCAAGACATCATACACAAATGAGATTGGCTTTTTTCAGAATTGCCTGATGCGGGGGATTACACATCTTTGCAACAAGGATGGAAGGCCAAAGAAAACAAAAAAGGAACAACGAGATTTATATGAACACGTTATAAAATCAAGATTATGGGATAGAAGAAGAAAACAATAATACAGCAGTTGAGGTTGTCAAAGCTCCGAGAGAATGGCAGGAATGTAATGTGATAATTCTGCAGTCAGAGACTGGAATCCATTCACAAGCTGCGTGTGGAAATCGTGATCTTCCTCCCCAATCAATCTGAAGTGTACCCGAATCGCTCGCTTGCACACAGCCATGAACTCAAGCAGGGCAGCGATGAGTTGCTGCAGTTCCTGCGATCGCAACCTTGTTGCTGGCTCACCGGACAAGAAGGCTGTGCAGACACTCAAGACTCCACTATTCACCTGCACATATGCAGCGTCAGTCAGCCGTATGCAAAGCCATGGCAGGGTTAAAACTTGAGGATACAATAATGCAAAAAGTTAAGTAAACTAAAAATTTGGTCTTGGAATTGTTGTAAACCAATTTGGCATTAGCCTTTGGAAAAACGTGAGCGCACAAGTTACTTCAAGAAAATAATAAGAAATGATACTGCAACATACTTGTACTGCAACACTGCCTTGAAGGATTCTCTGTAGACTTTGAAGTCGTGGGAGTTGATCCCCTTCAGAACTCCGAGGTTCTTCGAGTTCATTTCTTAATGCTGCTGTCCTTGTTTCAATCATTCCAATTGCATTCTCTACTGGGGAAAACTCTAGAGATTCAGATTTGATTACCAACAACCTATTTACTAAAGCAGGAAAAGATCCCTCAGTCTGAAGAACAGTGCGTCTCTTCCACTGATCTTCTAATCCACCTTGAGTCTTGCCATTTTTTGTAAATGGGGTATCAAACAAGAAGCGGTCAAATACTCGTGCCCGGACACTCCCAGTAGAAAGAGAGAAGATTCTCTCCCTTCTGCTTCCCAAATCCTCATCTTCCATTACCGGATCAACTGCAGTAATCTGCAGGTAGCAGACTCCAGGCTGTAATTCTTCTGCCTTGACTTGTCTAGAATCTTGAATAATGCGCAAAGTGTGATTACCATCCATCCTAGACTCATATATGTGACTAAGTTTTTCCATTATGTCACCAAGACGCACATCCCGTGGCTCACGATACACATACTCCTTTTTGTCCAGTTTTCCAAACCTATCTCCATAGAATCCAACCCTATAGTATGTTGCATCAGTGAAAGGAATTGGACTAGATTCCTGTTCAAGTATAGAGTCATAGATATTGGTAAGCATTGTATGACATTTAGCAAGCTGTCCATAAGCTCTCCTGCTTTTGTAAACTGGGATTACAAGTTCCAGAATGCTTGCACAAAAATGAAAAAGCTCAGCTTGCGAGAAGAGCTTATTAGCAAGCTGAAGGTATTTTACTGCAGAGTCAACCGTCAGTTTTGAAGCACCATAACCCTCTACCTCAGCAGCAGACGCCTCAGAGCTGATCTCACTGCTAACCATGGGACATATTTTCCGTAAAGCAGCTACATGGTCTTTGCTCCAAACACCATCATTTCTTGCAACAAGAGCCTGCATGAAATTTGAGCAGGGAACAACCAAGAAAGGTTTGTAGTACTATATGAAAACCATAAAACTTTCAAGCTCATTCTATCACAGATTAATGATTAAAAGTACAGGACTTAGATTAGCAATATATAGTTTATGATAGGAAGGATAGATATCCATTGACTAGGAAAAACAGAATTAAACAAGAGTTCTTTTAGTTAACAGGCCATAGGGATACTTTAAAATAATGCTTGTCACTTAGCTAATAGCTGGGACTACAATAATATTCCTTCCAACCTTGAGAAATAGAGATATTAAAAAAGAGGCATGTACAGCCTTCAAATTCTCAGTTTAAATTTAGTAATAATTGCGGGAAACATCAGCTAACACGACCACTAAAAACAAAAGAAAACATTCACAAAGAACAATGACCTGAAAACTCCTCATTAAATCATTTTTAAGAGTCAAAAAAATCACAAAAAACTAATCATCAGTCAAAAACATGATTTTTTTTTAATACTGGAAAAACACATTGACAGAGAATGTACCTTGGCCTTAAATGAAACATTTGCACCAGTGTTTTATACAGCCTTTAAAATTGTAACACTGCAATAGTATGCATTAATAAAACAAGTGTTTACCTGCATTACAACACCTGCAACAGCTACAGCACATTGAGCAGCTTCAGCCCAAGACTGCATTTCCTGATGTGCATCACATAGATGCAGTAACCACATTATGTGAAGATCAGGCACAGGGGCAAAGGCCATAGCAAGCTTATAGAAGCTTTCTGAAGAAGCATATCTATCCATAGTCATCACAGGGGTCTGAAAGAAAATTATGTCTAAAATGAAGCCACACAAAAAAGTTGTAATAATCAGAACCCAAGGTTCTTTCAGTTCACTCATTCGTCAGGTTAAATAAACACAAGTACAGAAAGAATCTACACCACAAGCATTTGCTTCCACAAAAATAAACAATGCAAAAAATATCCATGCCATAAAGATAAGGAAAGAGGTTGACTCAGGAATTGGATTAGTAAATCTACCCAAAAAAAAAAATAGAACATAACAGCCAAGCCCAGATACATTAATTGTGAACATGATCTTGCTGCAATACAGGCCAAAGATGTTGCACAAAAAATTAGTACTTACCAATAAGGCATGCTCCAAGCTAGCATCAAGAGCCAAAACAAGACAATCAGAGAGATATTTCACTTGTGACCATGACCACTTGCTCTCTGCCAATCTTTCTGGTATAGCTACAAGAGCACTCTCAGATAGTCCACACTCCATCAACAGGCAAACACTTTTAGTTTCATCTGCCATTTCATCTAGAGATTTTCTTAGCCGCCGTGCTTCACCACTCTCTTCTAGGCTTCCATCAGATCTCATCTGAGTTACTTGCACATCAGACATTAGCTCTGATAATGTGATAATCAACATGACCCTCAATCTTGCTGTCTGCGTAAAGTAATGAAATGAACTCTGCGCAAATTGGGATGAGATATTACAAAGTATAGATCAGTATGAAGTGAAGGAAAGAAAGGGTAACAATCCTTCAAAGTTCCAAGGTCAGAAAACATACCCTCACAAGTATCTGAAGTCCAACAACTGCCCTTTTCCTTATGTTTTCATTTCTAAAGACTGCAAGCCTAAGTAGATGGAAAGTAACTTGCTTCAGAAAACGATCATTTTCCCTTGCCATCAGAGTTGCCCCATGTAAATCAAAAATACTGTTGAAAACAGGAAAAAAAGCTTTCCAGAAAGCCAGTGATTGATTTCGAGATAAAAAGCTCATGAATATGGCAGTGATGCAATCAAGTTTGCCATAGTCAGTAGCAATGCTATGGGATACCGCCATTTTGGAAAACTTCTCAGTTGCTTCAAGAACCTGAAGACTCACAGAAGCACTCAAATTTTCCTCCCAAAGTTCCTGCAGGAGAGAAGGGATGTATGAGCTATCCAGTACAAGTGAAAATATAAGCCATGGGCCACAGCTGGAAGTTTGCTACATGGATTAATTATCAAAAACCTAATGAAAACATGTGATATCCTTTTCCTTTTGCTAATCTCAGCATAGACACGAACATAAATTACACATCAGCTAAAGAAGTAAGAGTACCAGTTTCTGCCTCAAAAGTGGGTGCAAAGATTCTCTAAGTGCTTGAGCAGAAGCTCCAATCCTAGAAGATTGTGCCTGAGCTAGAGCTTCTCTCAAGGAATATGGCTGGCTAGGGGAACTTAACTGGGAATTCACTCTCTGCCACAAATATCCATTATCAGGAGTTCCTTGAGGCTGCAGTACAAAAATTGAAGTCTCGTCACACAGGAAAAGTTATTGCCCAAGGTAAACATGCTAAACAAGACAAGAATAATACGAGCTGCCAATACAAGCCAAGCAGCAGTATACTCACTCTTACTTCCTGTCTTGAAGCCTCAGACAAATAGTTGTTAATTGCGGGAGAAAGTCTATCAGAGTACTTAGGAGAAGCAGGTGCTTCCCCCACAGGGTTGCGAGAACTGGAGCCTAGTAGCATGCCATCAGCAGGCTTTTTGTGCTGCAAAAAAGCAAGAGTTAGCAGAAAATAATTGCAATAATAAGATTGTAACCAAAAATGAACTTGGGAGTCTACATAATTAAACATGTCCAAGGGTTCACAAAGAGCAACCTCAAAAAGAAGCAAGCATTCCTCCATGAGCTTGAAGAACAATCTAGTTCTAGCAATGCTTTGTTGCCATGCTTTGACAAGGGATGCATCGTCAAGGTTGCGAACAATTTGCAAAATTACAATCAAAACCTCACGTTTTTCAACTGAGCTCAGGTTGTAGAAGACTGGCATTTCATCTAATATCTGTCAAGACCAACAAAACAAGTCATCAAAATTGAAAGTCTAAAACCCCAAATACAATAAACGATTATATATACTGTTGATCACATAATTTATCATATAATTAAATAGCATCATATCTTCCATAGTTTGGCAGCTTATTGGCATCTCTAAGGCCATGCTGATCTGAAGTTACCAATGGTAAAACAGTAACATTTGGATTAGTTTATGCAATAGAATTAAGCTACAGAATTCAGAGGCAAGAAGAATTATTCTCCTGATCAAACTGGGAAATGCAAAATTCAATATAAAAGGTTTCAGTTGAGTCAAAGGACATACTGGCACAAGCAAATAAATTAAAAACATTTTAAATACCTGTCCAATAAGAGGGAAGTATAGCTGAGCAATATACAGTTTATCTTCAGGCTTTTGGTATCTGACATCAAATTCATGCTTGCACAAGAGCACTACCAGGTTTCTTGCTGCCTATAGAAGCAAACACAAGGGTGATAAATTCTAACAAAAACATTATGAAAGAGTAGCCCTTTTGATGTAAATTAAGAAGAAAAGTGAAGAGCCAAGATTTACATAACTGTTTTGAGACAAAGTAAATGGATATCACTCCAACTATTCTTACTAAACTGACCTTTCCCCGTAGAGATAAATCTTCATGATCCCAAGTAAGAAACAGTTCTTGTATTAAGACAGAAGAAAGGTAATTCCTAGAAAAATAAAAAGAGAATAATAGTCAAATATGCCAGTCACTTATTCATATATACAATTTCCACTGGTTCACATGTCACATTAACAGATAGAACCATTCACCAATTTGTGAACGCCCTAACTGAGACATTACTCTAAGTTCAGAGAATTGTTGTGGGCTCCTAACCCCTAGTCCCTAAAATGCCGTTTAAGTTCAAAGGATTTTTAATGACATTGAGAAAAAAGCAGCATACAATTAGACAAAGAATCCAAGTACTGCAATCATGACTACCTAAGACTAACTGAGCATGAAACGGATAAATAGTTCAAAGCTGAGACAACAAAATCACAGTAATTATGAGAAAGTTCATACAGGTGTCAGGGTAGACTGCAAAGAAAATATTTAAATAATCAATAAGGTACCTATCTGAAGGGTCTCTCCCAGGCATTTCCACAAAAAGATCATGGTCACATATAATTTGTAGAAATGTAAGCTTGCACTCATGAAGAACAGATTGGCATACTCCAGAGAATTTATCAAGATATAATGATACCTGTAATGGGCCCAAAAAAAAAAAACTTGCTTGAAGTCTACTGAATCACACCATCGTAAAATTGAGGGGAAACATCAAAACATGACAACACTTTCCAACCAAGGCAATGATAAAGGAAAATGGATTTTATTTTAACAACTAACAAGTAATGCTTCTAAAGCCATTATTTAAGTTTGTTTTCACTACTATACAATTCAAACATCCTTTTCCAATTTACAATAATAATAATAATAATAACAATAAAGGTTTACATGATCCACTTATAAGAGGGGCATGTTGGTGCCACATGTTATCTTCAATCTGTAGTCCAGGACTCTGAGCTTTTGAAAGTGTCCTTTGCCATCTTGAACAGGCAGATTGCTTCAATCATGCCCAGCCAAGATGAGGCAAGGTAGGAGAGATTAAAGAACTGATTCGGTTTATACGCAGAGTTAAAAGAACAATGAAATACTAATGATGAAATAGGCTCATGATATGAGCTATTACATTTTTCCATGATAACCAATCATATATCATACAATATTTACATAAAGAGTGAAAAATCTGTTCAGTTATTCCATCTTGCAAAAATATGACGACGATGACATAATAGTCACAAAAAAGGGGATAGATACAGAATTTAGCACAAAAGCATACCAACTCGAAAACTTGGCGAGGCTCAATAATGGACAATAAATCATAACAAAAGAATGCCAAACTACTGTTCAAGCGCTTTGCCAAGCTTAGCCCCTTCTTACAACGTTCATGCACCTCGGTCAGTAGACAATCATACAACTGCATTATACATCTGAATACACCTTCTTTCAACTGCATAGGTGGGATATCTTCACCTTTTGAACATAAAGGAAGATTAAGAACAAAATTCAAGCTAAAACCTATCAAAACAAACAAGTAATGCTACATGTTGACACTATCAACATGTAGTTCAAAAAAAATTGCTAAAATATAAAATATTTTATAAGTTTCCATATTAACCATCAATGAGAAAAAGCAAAATAATAATAATAATAAATGACAGAGTTCTGTATTACCAAGTATGCACACCCAACGTCAGATTTAGGATTTCTTATTTTACAACATAACTAATATTAGGCTAAGTTCACACGTGACAGGGAAACAAAAACAGACATTCATTAGAAAGAAAGATATTGTGATCCATTAAGTCATATGCCCCAATTAGATATGATATTTACCTACCAAATTTATATTAGAAGAGGTCCATATCTTGCATATCAATACTCCTTATGACTACAAAAGACACTTGGGATAAAAAAAGGTTAAACCGTTTTAAGAAGCGATACATGGTATAGATCAATAGCTTCAGGAGTAAAACATCTATTATTTGCAGGTAAAGGTGCATACTGAAGGAAAGATAATAGTTTATTAAGCATTCTAATGCACATTTACAAGAAAAGAGGATAAGAATCCTACCTTTGTTTGTGCAGTTGTTACACAAAGGTACAAGAGATAATTACATAATTCAAAACACAACAATAAGATAGGGAGAATTATTTTACAAAGGCAGTTCAATTCCTTTATAGGAAGTACCTATCGGAAGACCGTGATAAAAAAGACGAGTCTTCTCCAATGCCATTGATTTAACAATAAGTTCAAGGAAGAACCATGCCATGGCTAAAACATCATCATATACAGGTCCAACACGGTACCCTTTAGCCTGCACAATTGACTCTTAATTAAGAAGCTGGAAGTATGAACTAAGGCAGACACGTGAAATGACCATGACTGTATTATTATTCACTATTACATGACTTGAGCATTCAATGCATTCTAAGTTCGAACATTGACATACAAAATTACTCTAAAATTAAATACTCAATAGCATACCTTAGTCTCTTTACATGTTTAAAAAATTTTTATAGCCAACTTGTGTTTGGAAAATCACTAAATAACGTTTCAAAATGTTTGGAAATATAAAATTAATCAATTTTATAATATGAAAAAAAATTAAAAATATATGTTTTAAAATTGTTTCTTGGTAACATAAGTTTTAAAATGATTTTTAAATAATATTTATATTATAGAAGATCATTTCAATCTCAAATATGTGATTTAACAGTCAATTGTTGGGTGAATGGAAATAAAACCTTAAAAAAAAAGAAGAGGTTTATATTACATAAATTTTTTTATTTCAAAGAAGGCCGATGTAGATTTTTTAAAATAGAAAGTAGATCTTCGTAATCAAGGTAAAATAGAAGAGAAGTCATTGTATTTTAATCTTATTTTAATTATTACAATCCTTGATTATTTATACCATATCATGACTACAGAATTGATACTACATTTGCATCACATTGTATAAGTGATACAGAAATTTCAAAATGAGAGGGTGCACAATACCTTACTTCGAGCCAAGCTTCCCCAAACAGTAGATAATCCAGGATATACTGGCGGTTGACGACCACCAAAGTCATCAAATGCACAATCGACATAATTGACTAAAAAATGATTTCTGTCAGCATCATCAACTGACTCCTGCTGCACCCTACAAAATAAGCTTATAAGCTCGTACATATTACACTACCAGCCAACCAAAACTGTAATGTCTAAGCACTCATTAGTCATTGTCATCTCCTAAATCCTGTGCTTATATCCTCTTTATTTTCTCGTTTTGATAGGGAGGAGATAAATGAAATGTTAAGGTTGGAAATACAAATAAAGTACTTGGTCGACTAAAACCAGATCATGCTCGTGGCAGGATAGCTTTGCCAAAGTATATGTGGCAGATGGGAATTGAGTGCCTCTCAGAGAAGTTTTCTTCTAAAAAAGTAAAAAGAAAAAAATCAAAGCAGACCATGAATTTGAAGCTTTTGAGACTTTTCTAAGAAAAGATGTATGGCTATGTATGTATCTTGGGTACAAACTATGACACACGTAAAAATATCTATATTCCAACTGAACAATCTACTTATAGACATGAACATTCAGAGGAAAGAAAAAACCCTGGGAACGTGGGGGCAGACATACCTGGTTACAATATTAACCATGGCCCTGAAAGCTGCAACCTGCTAGCAACAGTGAAATGGTGAATTATGTAGAAAACCACTCATGAAAAGGAAAGGAGGATAGATAGCGCTGAAAACTGAGAGTTAACCCCCAAAATACAATTTTAATGCTAAAAGGGGAAAGACTAGCAACAGTATATGAGTAAACCTGGAGTGTTTCTCCACCATTGCCAATGAGATGAAGCAGCATATTCAGAATTGGGTGAAGAAACTGAAGTAAAGCAGTGGAATCAACATTCTTCAAGCTATTAATGGCCTACAGTCAAGAATAACTATCAACCAAATCCTCCACTAACAGATGCCACACCATACATCTAATTGCACACTAAATAAACAGCTAGCTCTGAAAATGAATTAGTAACTAAAAAAAAAAAAAAGCCTTTTCACAAAAACACAAACGTCCCAAAATGCTGTCCTCATTAATTTACACTCCTTTGCAATTAACATCAACATTTTAAGATAAAAGAACATTTACTAGATGCAAATAGGAATACACTGAGATAACAACACAAACAAGCCTTCTCACTCCTCTTCATGTCTACTATGGACCCTCACCAAAACTAGCCACGTGAATATTTTCGAGAGTAATGAAGCAAAGGAAATGAAGGATCAAATGATTATCTTCCAACAAGTTTGGATACTTGAAATGAACACGGGAAAGGAAAAGGCCGTAAACGAAAAATAATCATTGATAACAGAATATTTTCACAACTAGACGCATTAGTAAATTTAAATATTAATTTGAACTAGATATTTGTAATATTTAATTTATATTTCAAAATAACAAATCATTCTTCCTCCCTTCAATATATAATTGTTTCATATTATAAGAAGCAAATTTTCATAATAAAAACATCTTTATGTTAGATTAAACAACTAAATGGACCAAATTCTCTCACCAAAAGGGACACATAGAATTGGTGAACAAAATTAATATATCAACATTAATATATTAATCAATATTCAATATAAAATACAAAACCTATAACAAATCACGCTATTCATAAGCCATGAACAATTGGTTTACTTCAGGTTCCATGAAAAGCAAGGACCCCACAAGCTAGCTAGTTAGGAAAATCTCTTTATAATTACAATGGTCACAAACTAATGGATACAAAATATCTTAAAATTGTTTATGGCGTTTACGTGGAAAGCAATATAGACATGATCATTGAGGCTTTTCCACACCAATATAACACTTCTTTCTTGCTCAATATTCATATTCAGAACCTCTATGAACAAGAGCGTACGGCACATTTTGAGAGGGTTGTTATCAAGAAGAAATTTCAGAACTTCCATAAACTAGAGCATACTGCACATTATGACAAGGTATTTTCAAGAAGAAATTTCTCTCAATGACCTGTAAACCAGAAGAATGAATAATTGTGCCAATTGATCCCCACCTAAATCTATAGGGCACTAATTCAGCACATTGAGATAGATAAGGTTGTGCTTCTGAAACTCATCCAACTGAAAATTTACTAAGGCAGGGAGATTTTAAAATCACACAGGTTTCGTTAAGCAGAGAAAACAAGAAACACATTATCTTGCTGGTGTCAAATTTAGAGTGTGGTAGGCCACTCTACAACAACAAGAAGTCTTATCTCACAAAGTGGAGTTGGATTGACCACTCTAAATTTGCTCAACAGGTTGCACTGAAAAATAAGCAGCACTTATTTGCTAAACAGAAAGGAATCATGAATTGTCAAGAAAGGCACAGTCAACATAATCAATAATCAAGACGCAAGAGAATACTGAATAAAGATAAACAAGAATGATACCTCCAAAAGTTCAGAACCCCAAGGTGGACTTGTTCGAAGCGTGTGTCTATCATATTCAAGAAAGAAATCCCTAATACGTTCATTGATAGGGTATAAAGATGAACAAAGCCTTAAACGTAATTTGAAGACATTTTTCCCATCTTCCAAATAATCAAGTCTCTCCTATCAGAAAACCAAAAAACAAAAGAAAAATAACTGAAATTCAAGTGTAACATTTAAAACTAATTAAGAGCCAAATTCACACATTAACAGGATAAAATAACCATTAATCACAACATCAGATGAAGCTTAACTTCCATAATAATAATCAGACAAAACCAACTTGCTTCTATCGGAACATGTGAAGCAACAGATAATGAGAAAAATTAGTAAAATGAGGCAGTAAGTTTCCAGAAAGAAATCTAATTGATTCATATATGATGTGTATAGGTACATATATAAAAAGATCTTGTCATATCCTGGAAAAATACAGAGAGAAAGTAGCATTATTTCAACATCCCGGCCAATCTGATTTACAGTAACTGGAAAGAGAGATAAAGCACCCAGAAAGAGAGGAACAAGCAGAAATGAGAGAGACAAAAAGGTGAACACGGGACTTGAATGCCAAGAAGGAACAGTAACATAACACAGAAAATGATACACATACCCTGCCTGTATCCTGGAGATAATGAGGAATCAACTCTCTCATAATTGATAGAGATATTTCAGATCGCAGCCTGCGTAAAAACCCCCAACAACTTCAGTTTTTCCACCTACCAAGTTACACCACATTTTGGAGACCTAACAAAAATACCCTCCCCATACAAATGATCAAATGCTGAATTTAGACCAAAATCAATTGATCATATTATTTGAAGGAAAAAGGGGAAATGGGAGGAAAGAGAAAGCATAACAATGAAGGATCACATCATAGGGAAAATATTAAATTTCAGAGAGAAGCCAAAATCAGGCATAATCATGATAGAAAATCATATTTGGCATCATACAGTATACAGTGACAATTTGTTTCCTTAGAAGAAAGACGTTGGCACATTATATGGGGTTAGGTACTTTACAGTCTTCTGTTCAAATTTCTGATTTTTTTTTACCACAACTCAAATTTCTGATTAGTAAGCTTAGCTCTCCTGTTGCCATAGTTATAAGCAAAAGCATGGTTATCAAAGTCGGGTTAACTATGAAATATCTTTTTTACCTTCAATAGGAAAAAGAAATGAGCTCATACTTAAACTCAATTCATAAATCAAGGTAAGTGGGTTCATTTACTCACACCAACAGTTACAGTTGTAGACATGTGTGTTACATGCGTATGCCTTGTGCATGTCCAAAATACAACAAAATGCTAAGCGCATAAGAACACACAAGTCTTTCAAATTAATTAGAAGTAACATTTAAGACACAAACTTTTACACAGCAGTATGCATTATGTTCACCATAATGACATCAACATGCTCACTAAATTGCAATTAACAAGACAAGGGGGCGCAGAAGTTAACAGACAAGCTTCTAAAGCTTAAACAAAGGACAAAAGATCAAAATGATCAAAAGTAAGCTACATACTGAGCATGTGAAGATAATGGAAGTGCTGCATATCCAATCACCGCCTAGAAAAAGATTTACCATAACAATCAGTAGGAGAGTCAGAGTTGATAAATCAAGCCACAAAGTTCATGAATGAAACAAGCAGTAAAGTGAGATACATAATAAAACTTACTGGTTTTGGAGCTTCTAATTTTGTTTGCAGATCAACATGAAAGAAAGTAAATAAAAGGTGGTGTGTTGGTGTCCACATAGCAGGGAGGGAAAGTTTGATTTCATCATGGTAACAAGCCACTCTAGCCCCCACAGCAACTTGGGTGTGAGCCCACTTCTGCAGTGGAGCACCAGGATCCCTAGGATACATTGCCTGGGCAGATTAGTCACACACAAGAAACAAGTGAGATCAAAGTTAAGAAAATAGAGAATAATAACAAGACTAAAAGACACAATGAAAAACATTACCTCCAATGGCTGTTTCCGAAGATCACCATCATCCTCTCTAAGTTCAACCCGTATGAACAAATTTCTCTTCCTACCCAAACTTACAGTCATCGGATACACATATAGGCAGTGAAACAGTTGCAAAAAAGGCTCGTTTCTTGTTGTAGTGCGAAAGTCAAAAGCATGGAACTATAAGTTAATCACAGAGCGCATTAGAGAAGACATGGTATATACAAGTGAAATTATGTCAAATATGTTTGCTCAAAAGATCACATCAAGCACCATCCATTTTCTTAGCCAAGTAATAAATATACTTCCAGCATCTAAAAACCCCTCAAGTAGCTAAGAAGTGGCATTTTCTTATTCAGGACACTCAACCCCTCTAAGCATGGTAGGCAAATACATTTTGGTGCCAATTTTTCACCTGCACATCTTATTGAACCTGTTGCATTTGATTTGTCCGATTTTACATAATTCCCCAATCTACCACACCTTTATCCATGCATATCAGTGTAAATAAAGAAGAGTTACAGATTGCTATCAGTAACTGCATTCTCTTTATTCACTCATATACGTTACAGCCTACAATAACACTATAAGGTCATTCCCTCAATCACATGCTCTCAATATGACAATATCCACAATCATCCTTGTAAACACTATAACGAAGCCACAGGCAGAAATTCAGTTAAGAATATGATGCACCTGAGTGAATTACTGTACAGAAGAAAACAAAATTATCACAATATTAAGTCAACTATAGGCTGCAACTTAATCAAGATGCATCTATACTTACATCATCAGAATTAAAATCTGGATTCCCATGTGTATTTGTTCCATTTCCAGAAGCCTCTTTCCCATCACGGAAATTCCACTTGGAGATGCTACCCTGAGGATCATCAATACCATCACTATGGTGTTTTCCTGATGAAGATTCTGCAATATGATCTGGGTCCACAGAGTCATTGGTACCACTGTCTGACACGTTTTCTATGTCAGCTTGGCAAATCTGGTGCTTCTCTATTTCCAGTCTCAAAACACCTTTAACAGGTTTGTGCACTTTGCGTTTGGGATCCTAAACATTTGTTAAGAAACACCAACCACCATAAAAAAGAAACTTAGAGTAAACCAATAAATATTAGAAGAGAACATTATAATAATGTATTACAACATTATTATTTAATCATTATAGAGCATGGAATCAAGTTTTCTAATGACTGGGGAAATAACAATAAACTTCGCAAAATTCTACAGATTCATTAACAAAAGTTGCCAGTACTGTATTCAGTGACCAACTTAAGCCAGAATTAGTAAGCATTTAATTTAGTCACTTAGAACAGAAACAAAGTCTCCATCAAAGAAACCTGAATCGAGTAACAAGTCTTGGCAACCCACCAGAAGTGATTCCTCAGTGTAGCTTTCCTTAACTTTATTCAAGATTGAAATCTCGGCTACAACAGAATTTCCACTTGGATAACCCAGCTTTCCATCTAAAGAGACCTTTGCGCCAGTCTCAAAAACACCTTCATGGGAACTTGAACCAGAAACACTTGGAGCAAGAGGGCTGCTTGGGGAAGCAGGCCCTACTGAAGCTGCACCAGCATTGTTATCAAATAACGGTACCATGGCCCATGCGAAGGACTCTTTGTAAGGCATGATTTGAGACCACACCTGCAATTTTTGCTTTTCTCTCTCAGTCAAGTGACCCTGTCCATATGGATTGAGTGTTAACACCCAGACAAATTTTCTGAAGATATAATATTCTATGCACCAAGGTCAAGCATCCCACGTTTTATGAACAAATATATGCAAGCATGCTTAGTCAGCAAGGCACCATTCTGTGAATATCATTCGTTTCCAAAATATTATTCAAGTCTAAATGAAACTTTCATAACCCTGCCCTACTGTCTTTTGTTTTGTTAAAGACAGCCGTTGAGAAAGAGTACATCTCATCATTCAACCATTTGCAAAACAAGTACTACACAAACTATTCAATCTCAAGTGAGCAATTTTTCTCCCATGTTCAAGATTTCAATTCTTCTTATTCTATCTTTGTGATGTATTGACAAATACGTAGTTAATAATTGTGGGAAGAGAATATACAATAGCCTATATGAATTCACGATTTATCAGAGGTTTATTTATTAGAAAATTAGGGTATATAAGTGTAAACCTTGCCCCACAGTAGTATTTACCATCATCTTAGCTGTCCAGTCCTTAAAGATGTTTAAAATTTTAGTTCACTTGAGGTTGTTCAGGTTGCCTATGAATAGACCTGATTCTCACTTATGAATTATGATTGAACTCAAATAAATGTCACTGATTATTTTTTATCTATTTTCCCTGTTTTTCTCCTCTACTGCATCCACAGCACACCCACCCAAGGGGATGCAAAAGTGTTTCTTAGTATATTCCACAAACATAACGAAAAATGGGAAAAGCAGTTCAAAAGACCAGGTTAAACAAGAATACTAGAATAACAACCATGATCAAGGAAGAAAGACATGAGCACATACTGATTCTTTTCGTGAATAAACTGATGGAGTGACCCCGCCTTCTTCTGTAGCATGTTTCTCCAACTGGATTAGCAAACAAACCGATGCCGATGGAGCATCTAAATAGAAAACTCCACGACGTCCATATGAACTTTTGGTCTGCAAATGGTAAGAAAGAAAATAGCCATCCTCATATCAAAGCAACCAGTTGATTTTATGAAAATTATAGGAAATGCTATATCCACAAAGTAAGAAAAAGAAGGTCTAACATAGCTTACATCCTGCATTTCTGTTGGTAGGACAGGAAAGTAAAAGTCTTCCGATAATTTTTCTCTTCTCTCCCTATTGTATAAGCTAATTGTACCATAAAAGGGCTCTACAAGAAGAGCATAAGTCAGAAACCTTGAATCTGTTTTCTGGAAAAACACTGAGGTAGCACAGTGGTATTACAATAAACATATGCAATTTATCTTATCATCCCACCAATATCAAGAGCACAATAAGACTCACCAACTAACCCCACTTGAAATTGTAAGGACTGAACTTTTACAGAAATCTTCATTCCACTGAGATGCACAGCAAAAGTGAGCCAAAACAAAAATCAGTCAGGAGGCAAAAAGTAACCAAAAGATTGTGAAAATATTCCATTATTTGAGCCTGTCATACTGTGATATAGGAGTTTCTGGTATCCGTTGTCCAAGTATCAAAGACCTCTCATTTTCCCAATCAAATGCTGGCTCATAAGCAGGAAGGGGAGATTGACCAAAGTGCTGCATATCAAGTATCAAATGAAAGCCATCAATGTTGATTTTGATTCCAATAGAAGACAAGCCCAAAGTCCAAAAGTAGTCCAGAGTCATAATTATTCAACAGAGTTATAGCAGGAACTAAACCGTGACAACCTTGGAAACACCTGAATGCTGCGTGTCATCTGCAGCTTCCATAAACTGCCTTCCTGACGTACTAGGAATGTCATCTTCAGTAATTTCTTCGGCCTTGGTTCGTCTTGCACCAGCAAGACACAGTTCTGTGTATGGAAATAAAGTAAGAACTTTACCCCGGATAACAGCTTAACGCTCATTATTTACAGTTGGTAAATTCTCACCCAGATGCCATTCATGTTACCCAGTAAATATAACATCGTTCTGAACGCCGATTATAATTAATATACCAATATGAGGAAATTCCTCTTTAAATCCCTTTTCATAATAGTCATATTAACGAAAACAATTGCAACAACTACATTGTGGAAAAAGCAATACCGGTCTCAATATCAGTATCAGGGCCTTCATATATCTGGTTCTGAAACGACAACGGCCCTACGCTCTCATAGTGCCCGTACTTGTTCTCATCCTTAACCCAGTCTGTTGTATAGCAGTGAACCAATTCATTGAGGTGGGGCCATTGCTCCAAATTTTCGTCAAACTGCATTCCCGGGTAAAAAAAAAAAATGTTCAAAAAAATCAAGTGTTCACGAAATGCCCAAACCCACATTGGGTACTTTTCTCAAACAGATGGAGAGCCAAAAGGGAACACATTGTACCTTGTTCTGCCACCTGGTGGTGGCGGGAGTAGAATCCCGCCGTTGGCGGAGATGAAGCATCGCAGATCTAGGGTTTTACTTGACCCGTGACTCTCTACTTCCAATTGAAGAAGACGACTAACGGGTCTCCTTCAAATGCTAGATTTCCCTACAATTTCGAACATTTTCTGGATCTAGAAGCAGAGTAGAAAGCATTGCAAAAACGAGAGTTTCAGGGAGAAAAACGAAGACGAAAGCAGAGATGAATGCTGCAGAATGAGTAGAGCCCAGTACAGTAAACAAGTCAAAAGAAGTCCAAAGAAAGAAAACGCCAAACGAAAGTTCATATGAGCACAGATGCTGTTGTGCTGTGTGCCTCTGTAATCGGACCCATGGATTAGTATTGTGAAACGTTATTAATAATATTGTTAATCAGGTTTTTCATTTTCTTTTTCAATCTTTCTTTCTTCCAGCTCTTTTCAGCAGCTTTTTTGGCTTCGAAGAAAAGCAATTATGGTGCTCTTGCCTTTTTACTAATTTTTTCACAATAATTTTATTTTAACTTTTTATGTCCCCAACCAATACTACTTCATCTACCTGCGAAAGATTGGTCCTGCACAAACATATTATTTCCTTTATGATTAATTAAAGATGAGAGGCATTAATTTAATGACATGAGAGCAAATTTTTCTATATTACCATAAAGTAAACATGTATTTAATAGAAAAAGTAAGCATGTACTATTATTTAATTATTTAATTTAAATAAAATGAAGGGAAAATCATACCTAAACAAAAACTATTCAATCACGAGGATGGTGATTATTCAATGAGTCTGACAAAAACTAAGAAAACATAAGTGAGAAACTTCCATTAGAATGAGAAGAATAATAAAATAAAATCACCAAGTACAAGATCCCCCCCCCCCTTGCCAGCACCGAGTACGAGATTGAAGATTAACATTAGTGAATGAACAATAATCTTGTGGCCAAAAGAAGAAAGAAAAAATAAATAAATAAAACTACTCCCATGACAAGGTGTCTAATCTTATGTTTAAGTCAAAATTTATTAATACTTTTTAAACCAACTATTTTTGAACTTGTCTAAATTCTTAATCATGATGTAGGCATTGATGTGGCCTCAAACCCAGTCGATGCATATTTCCCTTCATTTCAGCATAAAAAAGATGCGCCAACTAGATTGACTTTGTGCCTACGATAGCCTCCGATAAAAAATTAACAAAAATCATGTTTATTTTAACTAAATGGTTATTATTTCTATTAATTATGGAATTACGCACTTGAATTATTAAACAATAAAAAATTCTCATTGTTATAAATTTAAATAAATCAATTTTATATTTTAATATTATAATTCTTAATATCAAATAATATTATTTTCGAGGTTAAAGAAAAACTTAAATATATTATAAATTACATTTCTATATACTTTTTATTACAAGAGAAGTATAATTTAAACAGGCGACAAAGATTGGTTTTGTGAATCAGGACCAAAAACTCTTTTGATACCATACAAAAATATGTATTTGAGTCCTTATTGGTAATTTGAGAAATCTATTAGTAAATAATTTGTAACTATTTCTTATACGCACTAGAATGATTACACACTTTTAACTTTTAAACTAATAATTTTTCCGCTAAATTTAAGTTGAATGCTTTCGTACAATATGATGACTATCAATTATAATTATAGTCATAAGGAAAAATTAATCACTTGAAGAAGTGATTATAATTATAATTATAAAAGTAAAATTATAACTATAAATTTTGCAACAAAAAAAAAATAGCACATGACTCCAGTGAAAAGGCGAACAACAACGGCAACCCAACATAAATAAAAAATGTGAGTGTTCATAACTTATTAGCCAAATAAAATAAATGACTTTGTAAATGCTATTTTAATTTTTAACCTAAACAAATTCTCTTGATTAAGCTGACCAAACCTTTTATTTTCAATTTAAAAAAAAAACATTTCTGAATTGTTAAATAACGGTAGATTTATTGGACAGAAGTTGTTCGGGGGTGGTTATGTGCACCTTTCTTAATATAAGGAACCGGTGGGTGATATGAAAGTGGTATGACATAATGGTAACATCACCACTTGAGCTAAACCACTGAACTACACGTTCTTTAATTAATATTTTTGTCCTATTTTCTAAGGTCAACGTCAACACACAATTACTAGCCAGAATTGGGTATAGCCAAATCCTCACAATGTGATCATCCAAGAGTCAAATTTTTATTAAAAAAAATACTTATATTTAATATTTAATTATGATTTAAATAGGATTATCTTTACTAAAAAATATATGGAAGAAATAAAAAAAAGTCAACACACAATCCCTCATTTTGCTATTTTTAAAAAAATTTTAGTAAAAAACAACTTATCAATATATATAGAAATTAATTAACTGTTATTATTAATTTATTACTCTTGTTCAATAATGTAAGGCATTTTTTGAAGGTTGAATGTTAAAAAAAAAAATATTGTGGACCTTTTCTTATGTCAAATCTTCTATTATTAAATGAAACAACTTAAAATCTTCTATCATGAAATCTTTCCACCCTTTTTCTTTCATTCATTATTTTTTTAATAAAATTCTATCATTGATCTTGATATTAAAATTGACAATTTTGGTTCCTTTTAACAGATTAATAACAACTTTCATACAAAGTAACCAAATTACAAACATATCAGAACACTGAAAATTTTTCCAAATTTGCAAGTGCAAGACACCTATAAAGTTCAAAAGTCATATATTTCATTTATATAAATATATAATAAAGAAATTAAGTTAAATGATTACACATCCTCATTACATAACTTTACAGACAAGACAAGCAGCAATAGTAAGATTGAAGTCATATCCATCCAAGGAAGCTGGCGTGGCATGATCTGGTCCACACTCTTGCAAGTTAAATCCCACAATTTTGTCTCTAGTTGACTCTGTAACAGTAAAACCTTAACAAATGTATATTTCCCACCAAACCAAATAGAATGTATTCTCTAATTAATCATTCAACATTTAACTTCTGTTGAAATTAATTTTCATGTTATATAGGCTACAGATATATAGAGTATGTACTACTTTTCCACCGCATAAGACTAGGACAGGATATCAGAAAGCCAGAAAATTCTTTCACTGTTTGTGGCTTGTGAGATGTAAACAATTGCTTCTCTTTCTTGTTTCAAAAGCTTCTCATCACCAAGAGCTACATATTAAAGGTCAATCTTTTGCCTAGACTACATGTTTTCTTCTTGTTATCTTAAGTAATACTTCTTGCTATGATTTATACTACCAATTTATATATATATATGTGAGAGAAACAGTTTAGAAACAGGATTTAAGACATGTCACTCAGAAAAAAGAGCCAAAAAAGTAGAAACTTGTAATTAAATGTTAGCTTAGCCTTACAGCAAACTCATGCTCTTGATTTTTCCTCAAAATAGCATCAAGCAAGATTAATTAAGTTTAATGTACATATCCTGGATGTTAGTATATCACCTGTGCTTGTTAGTTAGATTCTGTTATAAGTAGATAGCATTGTTAGAAGTTAGATAGACTTAGATATGATGGTTAAGTTTCATTAGGTGTAGAGTCTTGAGTGTTACAGAGTGTGACACTTTGGTCTAAGTGTACTGATTCAAATTCCTGTGTGATCCTCTTCCATCTTCTGCAACATCTCAAAAAAAAAAAAAAAAGAACAAGAAGAAGAAGCCTTCTATTCATTATGTTTCATTCTGTGACATTTTATGAGCATCTCCTTGTTCCGTCTCCTATCAGAACCTTGATGCTTGAAATGTATATTGAAGCTGCCTTGTTGAAGGTATCGAAGTATGCTTTGTAATGTTGGCTTTGGTCTTTCTCCTGGTTAGGATCCATAATGAACTAAAAAAAATGAATTTATTGGTTTGGAGATCACATCTGTTATGAGCTGGATTCATGAGCATATGTTGATATCTTTCTCCATCTATCATCCATCAAATTTGAACAATACATTCCTAGGACCTACTATATTGTGTAATATGAGATCTCTACAAAGTCTATGAAGCACTCGGCTAGTTTTTCTAACTTAATAGTTAGCATTCAAGAGAGGATTTCACACACCTTTTTGAGTACTCATGAAGTGAGGAAATTGAGTGAAGTGCCCTACAATGGTTTTAGTGTTTGAACCTTCAATGTATTATTTAAGGGAGGATTCTTATACCACTTGAGAACTCATGAGGCACAAAAAAAATCAAATGAAATGCCCCAAAGCAGTTTTGGTTGTAAGTTTGAACCTTTAATTTATTAAAATAATTAGAGGTTATTATGAATTTTGAAAAACTAAAAAGTTAAAAAATAATGAGATGACACCTTTTCTGGAAAGTAAAATAACCAAGATTGATCGACTATTTTGATTTATTTACTTTCTAGTTATTAGTCAATCAAAGTTGGTCAAATGCCAGTCTGTATTTGAGATACAGAAGTCATAATATATTTAGTCATTTATCAATGTGGGGCTATTTTTTGAGTTAGTCGATGCCCAGCACTTGCTAAAATACTTACCTTGTTATTGAGTTTAAACATTAATTCTTTTATTATCTTCTATAGTAGAAATATAATGGATTACAGATAACAACCTTCTCTAGTTGAACAAGTTATATATGTGTAAACAGAAATCTTGTCTTAAATTTAAGGTAAATAAATGTCTGAAATTTAAGAGAGAGTCTTATGACATTGATCTTGAGGTGTTCTCCATCGAAAACATTTCTTGCTTGATGATGCTTCAATGACATATATGATTGTTTTTCTTTCTTCTATTGCTTCATTAACTATTGTCACATTATCAACTGCTGCCAATGAAGGCAATTCTTTGTTGTTATGTTGAATATTGCAATAATTTTAGAAATCTTAGAAATTTCCATGTTTATTCTTCATATTCTCTTTTTCATTGCAATAATTCCATAATTCAAAGTGAATACCATAAGCATCCTATAAACAGAGTCACACTATTAATGATTTATGAATGATGTTTTTCAATGGTGCAATTTTTTTTTTTAGGGATGTCAATGATACAATTAGAAGATCGCGAATTCCATTAAGTTGGATTTGTTAAAAATATATTCATTTTGTAATATGAATTCTGAAAATCCAAAAGAATAAAAGATGATAATGAGATGACATCTTTTATAAGAGAGAAAAATGATCAAGTTCAATCAACTATTTTATTCTAAATATTTTCTAGCAATCTATCAAGCTTAGTCGAATGCTTGCCTTCATTTGGCCTATATGTAAGTCCTAACATGTTTAGTTATTTATCAATGTGATTAGGGACAAACTTTTCAAGTCGGTGCTTGTTAAAACACTTGCTCATATTATTGAGTTCTACCTTATATTAGTTCTGACCATCACCTTATATTGAACCTGATACTAAAGATTATAGATCTAATCTTTTTGTTTTGAAGCTACTTGGATGACATGTGGGGATTTTAGAGATTTTTTGTCTACTAATTGGAATCAAGTTAGAGATGCTAATGTCAGCCTAAAAGATATGCAAACAGAGCTCCTAACAATGAAATCTGGAAAGTCTTTGGCAGCATAAAGAGAAGGAAGGCATGACTCTTGAGAGGAAGGCATGACTCTTGAGAGGAATCGGTGGTATTCAAAAGACCCTTAAAAGACAATTCAATACTTTCTTTAAAATCTTGAAATTCAAGTTTCTCTAGATGGAGGATAATTTGTCTATATAGAAGGCTAACAATTTTTTTTAATCTATTTTGGAATTTATGCTCATGTGCTTGCAGGTCCTATAGCCCATAACTTTACTAATTAGACAAATCTTCCTTAACTAATTCTAGATTTAAGATAAAGATATTTATTTTACCTTTTTAAGGGAAAATTAGTCAATTAATGTTTATTATTTAGAGCCCGTAATTTAGACCAAATCTGACGGGCCAGCTCGAACTCGCTTGAAAAATTTAGGACTAAGCCCAAAAAATTTTTTATTATTTGGGCCTATTCGAGCCTAGGGAAATTCAGGCCAAGCCCGATCGAGTTTGGGCTTGGCCCAAATACCTGAATAAAAAATAATTTTTTAAAAAATATATAAAATATGATAAATATTAATTAATTTTTTAAATTTTATATTATTTTATACCAAAATACTATATATATAAGTGTTTTAATGTAGTTATTTTTTAAAAAAATTTAAAATAGTTATATTTCATATTTTTATTATTTTTAATCAATAAAATATCTCCAAATAATATTTAATATTGATTTTAATATTTTATTTTTTTAAAAAAATTTGAGTCCTATAAATCATTTGCATATAAAAAGATAATTTTATAATTTTTATAAATTAAGATAATTAATTTTAAAGTAAAAATAAAATTAAAAATAATTTTAAAAATAAAATTTTGGCATGTATGAATTCCTGATTTTACTACTAGATAAACATAATAAATAGAATAATATTCTTGAATAATTATTTGATTATTGTTCATGCTAGATTTGGTTAAAAATTAAGAGTAAATTAGAGTAAGAATCCCTTATATGTAAGAGTTAAACAATATAAAAAGTTAAAGAAAAATGATATTAAAAAAATAATATTTTACTCATAATTAAATAATTTTTTTATATAATATAATGATGGCAATTTTTTTTATATTCATAAAAATGAAAAGTACAATTAACCTAAAAGTTATTAAAAATTTTGAGCTCATTGGGATAATAATTTTAAGTTAGTAGTCTGACTGTAATTGAATTGAGATCAACTTAATCATAATTAAAATAATATAATTTAATTAAAATATATAAAATATTTATACATGACTATGATAAGAGAAATATTTAAACAATTAAGACATTAATTTATAAGTAAAGGAAACATTCATGAATAAATTATACATAATATAACAAAATAATAACAGAGCTATTTAAGTATAAAGTTGATAAGTTATTTTTTATTTTATTATTTTAAAATTAAGATAATATTTTACACTTAATGGAATTATTTAAAAATTAAAATTAGTTTAAAAAATAAAGAAAAAAATACTTTTAAAAAGTTTCGGGTATTTAGGCCAGCCCGAATAAGCTCGAAGCTCGAAGGTATTAGAGTCGGGTTTGGCTATATGGGTTTTTTAGAAGGGGTATGATACTTTAAGCCCGATCCAAATAAGCTCAACTTGATTTGAGTTTGGCTGCCCGAATTACTGGCTCTACTATTATTTACACTTTATTTTAATTTAGTCTTTATACTACTTTATACCAATCCATGAAATTGACTACCATTTAAAAGTTAGTTCCCTAATTAATACTATACAAGAAGACTTTATACAATGCCTGGGGTGGCATTTAAATCACCCAAATTATGTTTATATAGAAGTGACACTCTTGTTGCTGTTGTGCAAACGAACAATATATTGTATGAAGCACTATTATAGCACGCACAATTAACACTAGCTAAAATTAATTCTTAACACCAATTCTAGAATTGGTGTGGAAACAACTGGTATGAAAAGTGTACCGATTATTTAATTAATGTGAAAACTGACTTTTCACACCGATTATAAAAAATGAAGAAGATTGGTTTGAAATATAGGTGTGAAAACACTTGTTTGCAATAGTGAAAGAAGAATAACATTAAGGTCATGTTTGTTTATTAAAATAGAATGAAATGGAATGATTGAAAAAATAAAGGTAAAAATAAGATGATCAAAGGGGATAGATAAGCACATTCGTAAGAGGAAGAAGTAATTTAGTTCATAGAATTAGGAGTCATGATTCATGAAATTTTTGAAGGGTGTGATGATTCCCATATTTTTAATATATATTAATAAGATTTATCATGCTTAATATAGGAAGAAGGATGATTTAGTTTATTTTTATCTTAATTTTTTCAATCCGTTCCATTTCATTTTATTCTAATAAGCAAACATGACCTAAATGATCAAATAATTGAATTAAACTTAAATAAAGATAGAAAGATTTAAAATTTTGAAATAAGGACAAAAGGTGACTTATTTAAGAAAATTTTCACTTACAAATTAACGAATTTCAATTGTAAACTATTGTTTTGACAGTTGTGAGTCATGGAATGATATATCTTTGATCCTCATTTTGAATTTCTAAGCGCTTTGGTCCTTTATTGTCATTCCTCCTTATACGAAGCCTTGTTGTGCTTGCTGTAAACTTGGTATTTTGGATTTGTTATAATGTCATACCTTGCTACAAGTACTATATCACATGACCATTTCATGTGGTTTGTTGGACCAAAATGGCTAAGCCCACAGATCATTTTTGTATGTTCTATTGTGGTATTTTTTTTATATTTTTTTTGTTTTATGTGGTATTTTTTGAATTTTACATTTTCTTGATCTGTTGACTTAACCGATGACCTACTTTGATTTATCATATATATAGTGAAACCTTTTTTTATTATTTATCGATGTGGGACAGGTTTCGAAATATATTTAAAAATGAGTCAAAGTATGCGCACATTCATGATATTTAACTATGTATTTATTGTTTTTTTTCAAACAACTTAAATAATGCAGTCCAATGAAGTCACATGCTTTCTATCTTTGCAATTACTAGCCGTCCCAACATAAATGAGACACACCAAATTAGAAAGAAAAACATGCTCAAGGACTGTTGTTGTTATTACCTTCAACATATTTTGATGCTTAAAAGTTAAGAAATTCATGGGATTGATTCTCCATTAAGACACAGTTGGATTTTTCAAGTGAACAAAGGGGAGAAGGAAAGTGATGCTGCTAACAATGTAATAAACAAAATGAAATTTAGAGTTGAAGGGATCAACTTTGAGTGAAATTAAGCAAAATCTAGTTTGTGAATCAATTCTATAAATACTCACACATCTCCTGTTCACATATTCACACATATCTCTTCATGCAAATAGGTGAAAAAGTATCTATTTCTAAAATAGGAGTTGAAATAGTAGATATTTTAGTTCATTATCATCACAGGGAAAATCTAACACTTTTTGGTAATGTTGGAGTAGGTAAAATAATACTCATTATAAAATAAATCAATAATATCACCAATGCTTAGGAGGGTGTATATGTATTTGGAGAGTGGCTGGATATTTAAAAAGAAGTTAAAACACCAACAAAAGTTGGCTCTAATAAAATGAGTCACTTCTTCGCAACACAATGAATTAATGTTCGAATCCTTAATTAGTGAGGTGTTCATATTTAATGCCATACTATACCTCCAACAAGATTCTCTTTAATAAAAGAATAGTTATGAAAAAAAAGAAAAAAAACAGAAAGAAAAGGAGAAGTTGAATAGCAAGCAAGCTTTTTTTTTTTTGACAATTTATCAATATGTTGTTTTTCTACTGCTAACAACTTAAAATAAAATTGTGCAAGAAAGTTGTAGACCTTTTATCTTTGAAATTACCATCCTTCCTAACATGAATAAGATAAATATTTACAAAAAAAAAATTGACCGAAATCAGAACGAAAAATATGCCCAATTGTATTATTACTATTGCCTTCAACATGTCTTGAAACTTATAAGAATAAACCCATAAGATTGACTAAGAGCTAGTATAGGGCTAATGTTAGACAACAAAATGGCTAAGATCAACAGACTTCTGTTCACTTTTATTAGGGGCTAATGTTACATTACTTTGCTAGTCATATATATTCCCTTTGTTGAGGGATTAAATGTTAAAAAATATAAAGTATTTTTAATTTTTTAAGGTGTCATTATTACTTTTTTTCCTTTCAAAAAGTGTTCATATTAAATAAATTATTTTATATTTATTTTAGGGTGAAATAAGATATTAAATAAGAATAGATATAAAAAAATAGAGTCAATTTGAAAACAAATAATTATTTTATTAGAGATGAAATTCAATTTAAAACACCTTATATTTTTAAATGGGGAGAGTATATATATATATATATAATAACATGTTTAAGTTAGTTATTGAAGAGGGGCAAGTTTTTTAAACATAGATATTGACATAATCAAGTTCAAAATCATCAAAGTTTGAGTATCAGTTCTTCTACTGTTACATATAGCGCAAATGATCAATGATGGGATATAAGGAGAGTGCAAAGGATGGGTGTTCCTTAATAAATCCTTCTCTCCATTTCTTTATTTTCTTTTTCTTTTTCTTTTTGATGTAAAGAGGGCCATAGCCCAAATCCTTTCTTCTACCCTTACAAGCCATAAGTTCGAAAAGAAAATAGGCCCAAAAACCCAAAGGGACCAAACCACCGCTTCTTCCGCCTTTGTCCGGTGCTTACCCGCGCACTCACCTTCCAGATCTTCTTTTCCCATTTCGTCGCCATGGATTTCAGAAACGTCGCCGACAAAGCCTTGTTGCTCCAAATCAACCTCGATAATCACCTTCCGGTAACCGACCACCATGGAAGTTCCTTCGTTTCCCAATTCTCCGCCTCTAACGCCGCACCCACTGGTCCATAATCTGGAATCTCCTTCGCAAACGATCGCCGCGTTACCATCACATGCTCCTAATGTCCCTCAAGACAATCCTCCAAGGTATGCTTTCATTCTTTCTTCGCCTGACCTGAGCTTTCATTCTGGTGTATTTACAAATTCATTCTCACTTCTCAGTCAATTCAAGTTAAATTGTTGTGTGTTAGTATCAATTCAATGATCAAAACAGTTCGATAAGCACATTTTTGAGATTCGAAACACCTAGCGTTTGAATGTATGCCAAAACAGTTCAGTTTTCGGTTTAGGCAAATTGAGTCGAAATACTATAAATAAATTTTTTTTAAATGCTACACTTTTAAAATTATTTACCAAGACATTATAGCATGAAAAATTAATTTCTGATAAATTGAGTGTACTAACATAAAAATTAGCTTATATGAAGTTGAATTTCAATTTAATTTTTAATATTTATTCAAATTTATTTTGTGACATACCACTGGCAAATCTTTTATAATTGCTCTTTTTTTTTTTAATCAGTTTCGATCACCCAACATTTAAAAATTTTTATTTTTAATATTATATTTATAAAAATTTAAAATTTATAAAAATTTATAAAAATTTTAATATTTAATTAAACTATTTGAATTAAATTTATTTTATTTAAATTAATAATAAAATAGATTTGTTAAAATTTTTATAATTTTTATTTTAATAAAAAAATAAAACTTTAAAATTTGGACCATTCAAATCTCAACGAACACTAAAATTAATTTTTGTTTCACATTATTTTAGTCCCAAACATATATATATATACACATATAAATTATTATATGATTATAATTATAATATATATAAATACTTGTATAATTGGTAATTAAATTATATATAAAATATAGTTTTGATGATAAAATTAAAGTAATTAAATGATATAAGTAAAAAATTATTATCAAAATTAATTTTTTAATAAAAAAATTTAGGTGAGTTGGGTTTCAAAACTCACTAAAATTAATACATGCTTTTAAATTTAGAAGTCGTTTACAAAAATAGCCCATAACTAACAAAGATTAATTCAATTAATAAAGATTTGATAAATAACTTACAAGATTGTGCACTTAAATTCCACTACCAACACGAGGACCTTGGTAATGGGTGATTTCTGTAAGTTCTCTTTGAATTTAAAGGCATATTTTAGTTTTGGTGAGTTTTTAAAATCTAACTTATCTAAATTTTTTTACTAAAAAAATTAATTTCGATAATAATTTTTTACTTATATCATTTAATTATTTTGATTTTGTTATCAGAACTATATTTTATATATAATTTAATTACTAATTATAAAAGTATTTATATATTATAATTATAATCATAATCATATAAATAATTTATATATATATACATGTTTGGTGCTAGAATAAGGGAAAACAATAATTGGTTTTAGTGCTTGTTAAGATCTGGACTGTCCAAATTTAAAAGTCTTATTTTTTTATTAAAATAAAAATTATAAAATTTTAACAAATATATTTTATCACTAATTTAGACAATACAAATTTAATCCAAATAGTTTAATTAAATATTAAAATTTTTATAAATTATTATTTATATATACTTTGAACAGTGTATATTTAATATTAAATTTTTTAAAAAAATTATAAATTTTTTATTTTAATAAATATAATATTAAAAATAAAAATTTTTGGATGTTGAGGTCATCGAAACTGGTTTCGAAAAGGGGGAAAGAGCAATTATAAAAAATTTGGAAAAGGTTTGCAGGCTGGATATAGGTATGTCACAAAACAGATTTTAATAAATATTAAAAAATAAATTGAAACTCAATTTCATATGGGTTAATTTTCATCTCAGTGTACTCAGCTTGTCAAAAGCTAGTTTTTTATATTATAGTATGTTGATAAATAATTTTAAAAGTATAGCATTTGAAATTTTTTTTATTTTTATCATTTCGTTCAATTTGCTGTTTTACTTCTCTTGACTAGCTCTTTAAGCAATAAAAGAATTTAGAAAAAAAGAAATGTGGATCGAGCTTGCCCGCTGTGCTTCCTACGCAGAGCAAGAGGCCGTACTGCATCACATGCATCCGCCTCAGCAGGTATCTAAGAAGCACCGATATGGTACGAGTGTCGGGTATGATACGATATGATACACGGACACAGTTATTTTTCAAAATTTTAGGATACGGGTACGGCTATATAAATAATTAAATATTAAATATTTGATGTTCAAAAACACAATTTTAAGATATCTAATGCCATCACAAAATATAATTTCAAGATGTCTTTCAGTGCTAGATTGAAATTGAGAATTCACACTTTCTGAACTACTACCAGGTCTAAAATTAGAAGTCATTATAGGTTTAATTTTAAATAATATCTTGCAATTTTAACAAGAAGAGAGCTAATAAAAATTTAAAATAAATCAATATTTAACTCAACAAAATAATCCATCTAAATAAAAAAAATTTAAATCAGTAATTCAATTGCTCTGGACAACTCTCTCGATTCAGCAGTGAGCAAATTATCCAATAATGCAATAATAATAATAATAAAATATCCATCAGCAGCACACAAATTATCCAATAATGCAATAATAATAATAATAAAATCTCTATCAGCAGCACAACAAGAGGAACTGAAAATGAAGCTGAAAAACGACCAACCATATAGAAGAAATTACCAATGAAGCTGAAGAAGGACGGTGAGACAGAGGCAGAGCAGACGGTCGAGAATAAACGTGAACCGTGAATAGGCAGAGGCAGAGCAGAGCGGGTGAGGCAGCGACGCAGCGTGAACCATGAATAAACGTGAGAGATGAAGAATGAGAATTAGAAGCACAGGCGGTGAAGCTACAGCAGGAAACACGAGAAGGGGGGTCGATTGGAGCTGAAAATGTTAGGGCATTGGATTTCTGGAGCTGGGACTGAGTAAAAGGAATTGAAAAATGCAGAGTTTCGCGTCTGCCCGTGTCCGACCTGCGTCTGCCTGTCTCGACCCGCATCCGCCCGTGTCCGTCGGAAACTAGGAAAAGGGACGCGCCGTTCCCCTGTCCTGAACGCGTGTCCGTGTTGGACACGTATCCGACACGGACACGCCGGCCATTTTGCCGTGTCCGTGCTTCTGAGGCAGGTATTTGAGGCCATGTTAATCTGAGCACAGTCATATGCCCGATGGAACTCAAAGACTGACTCTATGCCGAAGTTAGCGAACCCATTATCACCGCCAACGATCCACGAAGCTGAATCGTTAATTTTCTTTCCACATTATGTAGCGTCTGTATCACAAGTAAATTTCCAATGTGACACTTTGTATCGCAAGCATCTTCGCTAATGCTTGGCTGTGTTTTTTGCTAGATGTGTGGTCCTTGTAGTCTTGACATTGAAAATGGTTTTCAACTTTTCATAGCTAGACGACGTTCAGGAATTCTGACACATTTGGTCACAGCAAATATTGTTAAATCCTGGTTTATCCTGTTGAATGAATTTTCTGATGTTGAATATCTGTGCTTTGAAAATGGTAAAGTGAGGTGTAACAGACAAGAAGATGAGTGAGGATGCTATCAAAAGGGCATCACGGCAGGTTGATGCCAGGCAGCTAGAGAGTATGTATAATTCCATTGTAATATTCGCTTCTAAGTAATAGATAGATCACATCAAAAACACTGAGCCAAACAAGCCCTATCCTTGAGCAAAGTAGCTACAAGAGATACAAAGCCTAATACTAATTATATTAAATTACAAGGATCTGTATTTGATGTGATTTATTTATTATTTCATTATGCTTTTCTGCCCAGTTAAATACATTGGCTTTTGAGTGCTAGTCAAGAAGCTTTCGGTCAATTTTACAGCCCACTTTAGTGATTTTTCTCTATTTGTACAGAGGAGATGTGAGCTGAAATTTCATATTCGTATTTCTTTGTTTGAGTCACTTGACGTATAAAACTTTCATGATTTTTAAAGCAATGGAAGTGTTCAATTTTCATGATTTCATGATTTTCATGTTTCTTTGTGACTTCATAATTCTGTTTCATCGAAATGAGAACCAAGTATGAAAAATTGCAGATGTCAAAGAAAATCCTAGCATTTGCTCTTTATTTTTGTTTTTATCCTTTGGTTCTTCTTTGAAGAAGATGGAGAAGAATCGAGAAGCAAGAATTTCATCCTAGTCTTCCCTCCAACACACACATTTGTCTAAACAAAACAACAATCAACAAGCGTATGCCTCGGCGATTCCCATCCTGAACATGTACCGTGCACTGTACTTGTTCTGCCCAGCAACATATCCGAATATGATTGACTTTGCCAGCTGAAAGAAATGCAGCTCCTGTGTAGTTAGATCTTGCATAGAATAAACTGATAATGTTTGGATTGATGGATTTTACATTCAAAATTCATGCATGTATAATTTTTTGTTTGGATATTGTAAAAAATTTTAAAATATAAGAGGAATAAGATTAGATTCGATGAAATGAAAAATTGAAAGCGATGATCTTACCTCTCTTTCTCAATTGATGAGAGGTGAAAAAAATGAGTGTAACAAAAATATCAATAATAAAAATAAAAACATAAAGAAAGCGAAAAGGTCAAAGTAGTTGAAATTTTAAATAATTAGAATTTAAAAAAAATTAAACTCATTACAAAAAAGTTATAATAAAATATGAATTATGATTTGGATCAAATTTAAATTCATGAACTTTTATACATTTAAATGAGAAATTTAATTCAAATTTAAATTAAATCAAAATTTTCATGCATATAAAGACGGCAACCTGTTCATGCTTTATCTGGGATAGTGTATTACAACAACAAGATGTTGGTAAGTCATAAATCATAATGATCCCTTTCTCCGGTTAGCAATTGTGTCTTGTATTTGCTTTCTCATAATACAGCGCAAGCTTGTAAATCTCTTGACATTCCCATCAATGAAATCAAGTGCAATGAAAAGCTCCTTAATTGTTGTCTATGGGATATTATATTCAAATAAAGTATTTCAAAAGGATTATTTTCCTCTTTAATTAAAGAAAATTGATTAGTAAGATAACTATCATAAAAAGCTTATAATCATCTTACAATATTTGTAACGTGGCTTGCTTAAATATTTCCCCCTTCGCTACCTTAAAGCATTGTTCAATTTAGTAACCTATAAATTTAAATCAATTGATTCATGAAACTACCACATAAGATCTCATCATTGAGGACCAACGGTGCTTGCTATGTATACATACACATTTGGGCCTTTGGGGTCTCGGGTTAAAGAGCTAGCAAATAGTTAGTTCAATTGGTTAGCTGAGAGCAAATAAGTTCAAGTGGTTAGCTCTAAATGCAAAGAATGATGTGGGAGCTGGTTGAATATAAGACGAATCTATTGGTAGACACTCTTTGAATGAACATGTTTGCTAAAACATATGAAAAAAAGATGTAAAAAAATCTATTTTGAAGAAGATGTCCCTGATGGAGATGTCATCTTCTCAAGCATTCAAGATATTATCAATGATCTCAATTTTCAATAAAGACTCAATTGTCTCTATTTGTAATGTGTTAGATCTGGAGCTAGATGGTACCTTACAAAGTAGGCTGAATTAAATTTGATATTAATGGATCAATTAATAGCAATGGCTATGTTGTTTGTGGTGGACTTATGAGAGACAATTAAGATAATTGGATAAGTGAATTTAAGAAATATTTTGCCTATCACCCTAATGCTGTTGCTGAATTTATGGGGTATTTTTGAAGGCGTAAATATCTATTGGAATAACAAATTCACTAAAATTAACATTTATTTTGATTCTCTAAAAATTCTTACACTCATTTAGCATGAGTTATTTGAAAACCATCCTCTTGTGACAACTATAAAAAAAATTAGGAAATTTATTATGATTATGAAAGACTAGATGACTAACTACTTTAGATTATGTGTTTAGAAAAGTAAATAAATGTGTTAATTGGTTAGCGTGCCAAACTTACAAGGATAATGCAAATGTTAAGATTTTTCATATTTTACCTTTAGGGTATAGAGTTCTTTTGTACTTTGACATGACATAATTTATTTTGCCCTGACATTGTTTATCTATTACCTTGTACTCAAAAATTTTTTTATCTCCGAGACTCGCACTGTTTTACCCCGGAGAGTATCAATGGAACAATTTTCAAGAAAATTATTCCATCAATACTGTCAAAATTGGATTAAAGATCGCAGCATTACATGGGGAAAAAATAAACAGCGACCTCCACTGCCATCTTCATCACTCAGATGCGGAAGTGAAATTCTCCACTTTTAGGAACCCATTAATCTAGTTGCCCGAGGGAACTCATACTCTAAACTCCAAAGTAATAAGAACCAGGCAATGTAGGACTTCACAATTCTGTTATTCATTAGGACAAAATGGACAAACGCGCCCCAGCGATTGTTGAACAGTGGTGCTTCGCCAAACTTGAAAATAAAAGCTTGTGTTTCAAGTAATGATACTGTTAATTAGTTGGTTGGGGCTAGTTATGTGAATAACGGTGCTTCAACTTTGGCTTTTGTATGTTTTGCTTTCTCAAAATGAAGTACAAGCTTATCTCCTTACTTTCTCATCTTTGTGAATTAAATTCAAATTTCTACAATATAAACAAATATTTAGATCCCTTATAATTATCACCACTCTCAAAATAAGGAATAAAGGGAAAATGAAAAGTAAAATCCTGATTAATATCAAATTAAGATTTTTTTTTCCTAAGATTTCAGCACTAAAATATTGGACAAAAATAATTGAATTTGGAAACTTTAATTATAAAGAGATCTTAACTTATCATTTATGCTCCTATGAGGCCTTTATTTATCATTCTCCCGTAGAATAAAGATCGTAAATCACTTTATATGCTTTCCTGTTCTTTTTCTGAAGAGATCAAATACAATAACTCATAGCTTCATACAAATTTATATATCTATTCTTTTTTCAATACGAAATGGAGACCCTTCCCCTATAAGAAATGGGATTGAGTTTCGGTGAATTTTTTTTCATAGATGACCTTTTTCAGTATTTATTTATAATTATTTGTAATTAATAAACTTTCAATAAATTATCTATTCACGAGTTGTCAATAATAACTTTATATATATATATATATATATATCACAGTGGGTGTGTAGATTTTATATTTGATATTGATTATACTTAAAATACTTGTATTTTTATTTTGCAACAAAAAATTTTAAAACGGGATTAACCTTATGTAAAATAAAATGAAATAATAAAAGGATTACAAAGGAGGAACGGAGGAACAAGGGCTTTTGATAACCTGTGAAAAGCGAAAACAATGGAACATCATGAACCTCTCCTCAGCGATAAGAGTAATCTTGAAAATCCCGAACAACACCCAATCGTTCTCTTTGTGTTCTACGTCCACATCTTCTTCCTTTTTCCCTCTTCCCTTTCGCTCCTTCTCTCTCTGTCCCTTGTTTTGTACACTTGTGTTCCCCGTCCACACAAGCCTCTCTCTCTCTTTGAGTTTCTGCTTTGAAGCTTCACCAATGGCCTCAGCTAACGCCCTCACTACCCTCTCTCTCCTCCCGTCTACCAATTCATCTTCCGCCAGCTCCTCTACCATTCGCTCTTCACTTCACATCTCACCTTCCTCCTCCTCCTTGCGCCTCCGCGCCGGTAGTCTCCGCCGTCTAGGATTCTCCGCCGCCGACCCACTGTTTGCTCTCCATGTGGCTTCAACAGTTCGATCAATGGGTGCATCTGGGAAGGGAGTTAGAGGGGTGGTGTCGATGGCGAAGAAGAGTGTTGGGGATTTGTCTGCGGCTGACTTGAAGGGGAAGAAGGTGTTTGTGAGGGCTGATTTGAATGTGCCTTTGGATGACAATCAGAACATCACTGATGACACCAGGATTCGAGCTGCCATACCGACGATCAAGCATTTGATTCAGAATGGAGCTAAAGTCCTTCTTTCAAGCCATCTGGTATGCACCTAATGGGGATTTAGTCGACCATTTAATCTCTGTATTTGTATTTTTCCCCCCTTCCCAAATGCGTTTTTTCTGAGTTTTGCAGTGCTCCCCCTCCTGAACCCTTCTCTTTAAGAATCCTTTCAGATTTTTCTTTTGCGTAATTTGAAGTCTGAAGCTGTACTAGTGTAAATCAAAGAGTACACTTGTGGGGGATAGATCCTGAAAGGATCAAACTAAAACAATGTTATTGCCTGGAACTCACAAAGTTACTGTTAATAGTAGCTCTGCATGGTGTGATAAGTACTAAAATTGCTCATTTACACCTGTCGTGAATCCAAGCCTTTTTAGTTGCTCATTTACAAATTAAATGGTTCTATAATATTGGTGTGTGCTTATTACTTAAGTGGTGTGGATCTAGAAACACTGATGCTCCTTTTTCGCTTGTATAAATTTCTTGGCAAATTGTGGTTTGAACTTGCTAAGTTGAATCATTGTGATTTTTTTTTTTAAATGAAATTCCAGGGTCGACCAAAGGGTGTAACTCCCAAGTACAGCTTGGCGCCTCTCGTTCCCCGTCTCTCAGAAC